AAGGACTCCCACTCGATGCTCCCTCGCAATTTACTCTCAACGGCCCTGACCAGAGAGACCCCCGAACTCAGGGACGGCGCTCTCGTTCGAGTATTCCTCGCACTTCAGTCAGTGGCCGACAAGGAAGGTATTCCCTCCAAAGCGGGGTGCGATCGAAGACGAAGTTGGCGGGTATCCAGGGTTGGAGTATACAAATGAAAGTACCGCGGGCAAGCAAGAGCGAGCAGTCTAAAAATGATCGTCGTCGTTGTCGTGGTCGTCGTCGTCGTCGTTCTCGTCGTCCGGAAGTGTCGTCGCGCCGTCGTCGTCGTCTTTGCCGACGTCCCGAGTTGTCGTCGTTGGTCGTCGTCGTCGTCATGGTCCGACGTCGTCGTCGTCGTCGTCGTTGTCGTCTTCGAGCGTTTGTCGTCTTCGGTATCGTTTGGTCGTCGTCGTCGTCGTCGTTGTCGAGGCTCGACCATGGAGGTTCGAAGTCTATGGGTGTTCTCGGTGCCTCTCTCTCCCTCATTGGCAGGGAGGGCCAGGACAACCCAGACATCCAGTGTCGTGATGCTCAGCAGTGCCCAGCGATGCCAAGCAATATGCCAAGCAATCTGCCAACCAAGGTGCCAATTGGTGTGCCAAGCAGCAGGCCAAGCACTATGCCAAGCAGGCCCGCTCAGTGCCAAGCAACACAAAGATGCCGGGCAGACTGCCAAGACGTGCCAATCGTCGCCACGCAGCACGCCCCTGCGAGCACGGAGCTTTTTTGTCTTCACAGGGCGAGGGTGCCGGGATGCTTAGAGAAGGGGCGCGCGCGGCGGTCTCCCCGAGGCGGAGGCGCTCCGCTTCGCGTTCGCGCAGGCGCTACAGTTCTGCGCGGATCCCGCGGAGCCAGGCGTCGTCGTCGTCGTCGTCGCGTCTCGAAGAAGAACCAACAGCATACATATGAATTTCTGGAGCTCAGCAAGGATTTTGTTGGGTCGGCGCTGGACCCCCTGGCGGCGCCTGCTGCTCCGCCCCTGTCGCGCTCCACGCGCCAGGGAGGGGGTCCAGCGCCGATTCAAGAAATTCGCGCGGAGTTCCGACAGTTTATCATTATGCAGTTGTTTGTCCTTCTAGCGTCGTCGTCGCCGTCGTGGAGAAGGATGAGGAGGAAGGAAGAGATGGACGAGGAGGAGGAGGAGGTGAGTGGAGTGGAGAAGAGTGGGGTGGGGTGGGGGTGGACTGGGGTGGGCTGGGTTGGGGTGAAGAGGAGTGGAGCTGCGGATGCAAATCAAGGCAACAACAACAACAACTCGGATTAAAGAGAACTCGACTGCCTGTCATTCTGCTCTGCGAGGCCTAGGGCTTTTTGCTCGAAACCAGCCACACTCCCATCGAGGTATTCCGTACGATTACACATGGGGCGATTCTGCTTCCCAGCGACAGCCCCGCAATTGCGGCAAAACCTATTCGGAGGCCCGTATGCCCATTGAGGGTGTGGGAGGAATGGGCCCTGTTCCCATGATGTGTATACGATCCCCCTGCTTAGGAGACGTGAATCTAGTAGCGGCCCATCTTGCCACTGTGCCTGGGTTTTAGGTCATCGGCTTCTTGGATACCTGTGGGGGTCTCTTGGGACCTCACGAGGGTCTCTCGGGGGGCAAATTCGGGGAGTTTTTGGGGCTTGATTTGGAAGTGTTGGTGTGGCCTCGTGAGACTTCTGGGGGCCCTCTTGGGGGCCAGCTGGCGGCCTCTGGGGTCATCTTGGGACGGACGGCTCGAAATGCCGATTCGTGTTCCCCTTTCTTGGGGCTCTCTTGGGGCCCTCTCAGGGCGTCTGGGGGCCCTCTTCGGCAACTATTCGCCTGTCTGGGGGCGATCGTTGGGGCCTCTTGGGCCGTCTCGGAGCGTCTGGAGCTCGTAAAGGCGAGTAAGCCAAAGCCCTTTGACACTCACTGATTTTGGCATCTTGGGGCCCTCTTGGGAGGGCTCTTGGAACTCTCCTGGTGCATCTTGGAGGCCTCTTGGACCGTCTTGAGGCCATCTTGGGCATCTTGGAATGCTCCTGGGCCGACTCAGGGCCCTCTTGGCCCGTATTGGGGGTCTCTGGGGGCCCTCTTGGCCGGCCGCTGGGGCGCCTGAGTTTCCAACCAAGCCTAGCGGGGAGCACGCGGAAAGCCCCAGGAAAATTCAGGTGTCTGACCCTGAGCGATAAAGGCCGAGGGCTGAGGGCCTCGGGGCACGGTGGTGGACGCACGATTTATACTGTACGACGTCGGGCGCGGGGTGGTCCATCACCCTTTGGATGTGGCCTTGGTGGCTGACCCTGGCACCGCAAGCAGTGGTGCTTGCAATCGCGCCAAGAAGGCAAGGAGAGAGTCTGGGAGTAGGCGGTGGCAGCAGCAGCAGTGGTAGGCCGGGGCGGAGGGACAGAGGCAGCAGGAGCGTTCCTTTCCCACTCCGTCGCCGCTATGCTGTCGATCGTGGCCCGCAGACGAAGAGGTCGAGCCAGGTTACTCCTCGCTTCCTCCTCCCTCGTTGCAGTGGAGACCCATGCCAAGAAACACCCTGCTTGCCTCCAGGGTGCGTGCCCTGGGTTTTGATGGGTTGGTTTTGCGACGGAAAGCGTGACGTTCCCACACCACAGATCCATGGACGCCCTCGGGTCTCAGGGTAGGGTTTCTTGTGGAAGGTTCCTTGTGGTCGGGCCCCTCCTCGCTGCCCCCCTCCCTCCGTCCTCCTCCCGCCGCTCGCCGCCGCCCTCGCCCCCCCCAAAAGGCAGCCCGTCGCCCGACGCGCTGCTGGACAAGGCGTTCGCGGCGCGCCGCTGGAAGTCGCTGTTCGACCCGAGGCCACTCTCGTCGCCCCCCGTCGTCGTCGTCGTCGTCGTCGTCGTCGTCGTCGTCGTCGTCGTCGTCGTCGTCGTCGTCGTCGTCGTCGTCGTGTCGTTGTCGTCTCCGTCCGTCGCCGTCGTCGTCGTCGTCGTCGCCGTCGTCGTCGTCGTCGCCGTGGTCGTCGTCGTCGTCGTCGTTGTCGTCGTCGTCCGTCGCCGTCGTCGTCGTCGTCGCCGTCGTTGTCGTTGTCGTCGTCGTCGTCGTCGTCGTCGTCGTCGTCGTCGTCGTCGTCGTCGTCCGTCGATGTCGTCCGTCGTCGGCGTTTTCGGCAGGCGTCCTCCCTACTCCTCCCCCATCCCTCTCGTCCGATGACTATCGCATCTCTGGACGACGATGTCGGCGACGACGCCGACGCAGACGGCATCGACGACGCCACCGCCGCCGCCGCCGCCGCCGCCCGCCGACACCGACGCCGACGATGCCGACGCCGGCGATGCCCGCACCGACTCCGCCGGCGACGGCCGCGCCCCAGGCGGCGGGCGGAGGGCGTGTCCCCCGACGGCTCGGTGCTCGAGGCGCGCGCGGGGCCCGACACGGTGTACCTCTGCGCCGCGGACAGGCGCGCGCCGACGCCGGCGACGACGGCGTCGACGACGGCATCGACGACGACGGCGACGCCGCCGCCGCCGCGGACAGGCGCGCGCCGACGCCGGCGACGACGGCGTCGACGACGGCATCGACGACGACGACGACGACGATGAACGACGGGCGAAGACGACGCCGACGGCGTCCAGGTGGGGCAACGCCTGCTCCTTCATCAACTCCAACTACATGGGCTTCGGCACCGCCATCGTGCCGGAGGGGTGCGGCTTCACCCTGCAGAACCGGAGGGGCGGGGAGGGGGGTGCCCTTCCTTTCTCGCTGGCCAGGGTCGCCCCAGGTCCCAAGGAGGAGGACGAGGAGGAGGAGGAGGAGGAGGAGGAGGAGGAGGAGAAGGAGCGGGAGGAGGAGGAGGAGGAGGAGGAGGAGGATCCTGACATCCTCGCGTCGCGACACAACAAAATCACGACGGGCTTTCCTGTGGCCGTTCCTGCCCCTGGGCCCTCGCCGCGCCAGTGAACGACTCAGGATGAGACGCTGGTCCCCAGGAAGGAGTCTGGACTTGTGGGTTGGTCAGGGTCGCGCGTTCCCCGCCATTGAACCTCAGAACGCCGCCGACGCCGAACATGTCTCCCGCGCGCATGGTGACCTTGTGCCCCCTCTGGCTATTTCTTTCTCAGTGGGGCAAGAGCGGCGCATCACCTGGCTACGCCGCGCATGTGCAGCCCAGCGGTCGGCCACGAGAGGCGCTGCTCCCCGGGGGGGGATCTGGGCTACTCAGGATCTTCTCGGCAGTTCGAGGCGCGGGGCATAGTCGTATTTCGAGTGGTGTCCGAGTGTTGGAGCTGTCCTGGTCTCCGAGACCCTCCTCGCCGTCCCAGGGGAACGCGCCACCACTGGGCCTGCTCGGCTGTGAGATCTCCTCCCTTCCCTGTCGTGGACCGCACTGCCTCAGCGCCTGCCGCTCTGCTGAAGGGGTCTCGCGTGGACGGCCGAGCGCCCTGCATCGCAGGCCCTGCGCTCCCGGGCTGGCCTTGGAGAGCGCACCCGCCCCCCCTGCCGGCGCCCCTCCTCCGTCGGTGCACCCGGGCCACGGTCGGGGACTTCGGCGCAGCGCGTGTCGCTCCGCCGGCTCTGGTCCACCACGCCTCGGCGCGCCACGCAGTCCGCGCCCCAGCTCTCGAGCGTCCACGTCCCGAGCATCTTCCAGCCTCCCGCCCCGCGGGCTGGAGCGAGGCGCTGTGCGCTCGCAGGGCACGGCGCGCCGCTGGGGCTGCCGCTGCGACACGCTGAGCAAGAGTTCCCAACCATCGGCCAGGGCGCAACTCCTGGGAGGTTGATTCACAATCGGCGTTGGTATATCCCTGGTCTAAATCTGGCCCAATCTCGCTTAACTTAGCCCCGCGGCTTCACATCTCGCTTCATCCGGCTTGATCCCAGGCTCAATTTGGCTCAATCCCAGGCTTATCCCACGGGAGGAAAAACCACCCGGACCCGACAATTGGCGTTTACAGAACGGCCCTGGGGGTTTACTAAACAGCCTTGCCCTGTTCGATTTCTTCATTGGGTGCGTTTATCAAACGGCTTCGCGTGTCGGGGTGATAATTCTGGGGGTGGATTTTCTGCCCTCGAAATCCGGCCCGATGCGTCTCGGTGGCCCGTTCGTCGAGCAGCCCCCACTCGTTCCGCCGAAGACCTCCCGGGAGTTGCCTCCCAGCGCATGGCGGGCGAGGGGGCACAACTTCATCGTGCGCGAGGGGCACCCCAACTGCGTGGGCCCGTCCAAGTTCTGCCCGCGGCCGCGCTCGGAGCAAGCTCGGGCGGGCCGGCCGGGTCTCCTCGGCCCTCGCCCTCCCCAGCCCTGCCCGCGGCGCCTCGCTCGCGGCTCGCCCGCTTCCTCGGTCGCCGCAGCCTCGGCGTGCGGCTCTTGCCCTGCCGCGGGCTGCCCAGACGTCCCCTCTCCTCTCCTCTCCTGTCCTCTCTCGTCCTCTCCCGTCCTCTCGTCTCCTCGCCCCTCCTCTCCACTCCACCTCGCTCTCTCTCTCTCTCTCTCTTTATACCTTTGTGCCTCTCGCCTCTCTTGCCCTCTTCTTTCCTCTCGTCTCTCCTGCTCTCAGCTCTCCCCTCTTCTCTCCTTCTCCAGCACACACTTGCTATGCACAGTGTACGCGTACAAACAGATGGATGCGCATGCATGCGCCAGCCCATAAATCACGTCTGCAGCAGCGCGTGCACAATGCCCAACATGTGCTTACATGTTAGGAGTTCTTACTTCTCTCTCCAAGGAGTTGGTTGCGTCCAGCGAGGGTTTTCCGCGTGGCCGCCCGTTGCCTCCTCGTCGTTGCCTCGGGCGCTGGGCGGGTCCGGCGAGGTTTCTCTACGTTGCCGCCTCGCGGCCGCCTTGTTGCTGCCTCGTGCGCCGGGTGGGTCCGGCGACGTTTCGCCACGTTGCCGCCTCTGCCGCCTCGTTGCCGTCTGGTCTGGCGCGATTTCGCTACGTTGCCGCCCCGTGGCCGCCTCGTTGTTGCCTCGTGAGCTGGGTGGGTCCGGCGAGGTTTCGCCACGTTGCCGCCCGTTGCTGCCTCCCCGTTGCCGCCTCGTGCGCTGAGCGGGTCTGGTGAGGCTTCGCCACGTTGTTGCCCGTTGCTGCCTCGTTCCCCCCTCGTTGCGTCCTCGTACGCTGGGTTGGTCTGGCGAGGCTTCGCCACGGTGCCGCCTCGTTGACGCCTCGTTGCCACCTCGTTGCTGCCTCGTGCGCTGGGTGGGTCTGGCGAGGCTTCGCCACGGTGCCGCCTCATTACCGCCTCGTGGCCGCCTCGTTGCCGCCTCGTGCGCTGGGTGGGTCCAGCGAGGTTTCCCCACGTTGCCGCTTCGTTGCCGCCGCTAGCTGGCACCACGTATACTGCACGACAGAGCGTACACCACATAGCTTGCACCACATAGCTTACACACCCACAGAGCAAGAACTTACTGTTTGGGTTCCACGCTGACTAACACGTTGTCACACAGGTATACACGTACCACTTGACCTTCACATGAATCAACACATTCATGCTCCCCAGCAGTACCACACGCGGTGATCGGGCGAGTCCAAGGCTACAACCGCCGCGTAGACGAATGCTTATCAACTCAAGCGGAGGGCAAACAGCATAACGAAATGTACGATGCACTTTCACATCGGCAATTGCCGAAGTTTCGGTCGATCCAAATCAAACTGGAACGGCTGTCGTTGGCGTTTCGGTGGAACGCACCGAGTTTGGCCAAACCTGGGACCCCCAGAGGGGCCCGAATCAATGCCCCTTTCTGGCATCGGCGGGCAGCGCCGGCGTCGAGCTTTTCTTGCCCCGGCTGCCCGCGCGCACATGCATATCCGTTCACGCACACGTGCGCATTGGGCAGTTATCAAATACCGCTCGGCACAAGCTAGATGTCTTTTTGCAATTTTCCTTACCATCACCCTCGGCGTTGTGAGTGTCTGTCCCGCGCGCTGTGTGAGGAAGGAAACAACTTTCAAATCCAATCGTTTTCTCTGTGCCTGCCTCTTTGGCCTCTTCAGTACTTGTTTCAACTGAGCTTCAGGTGTGTGGCGGCATTTGCAATTTGCAATTTGACGACGCTGGCTGTTGAGGCCATGCGGTCCGCTCCCATCTTCGCCTTTAAGTAAATGCCAGACTTCCTATACGACAGGAGGTAAACCATGCGCCATGGTGTTCGGGGCCCTGGATGCCATTCGATGTGATAGTTCCCAGGGCGGGCTCGGTGATCTTGACCTCAAAGCCGGTGGCAAGGCGGCGGCTTGACGAGGCGGAGGTGATGATGATGGTGATGATGATGATGATGATTCTGATGATGATGACGATGATGATCATGCTGATGCTGATGCTCATGCTCATGCTGATGCTGCTGCTGATGATGATGATGATGACGATGCTGATGCTGATGCTGATGAGGAGGATGATGAGGATGATGAGGATGATGATGAGGATGATGATGAGGATGATGATGAGGATGAGGATGAGGATGATGATGATGATGATGATGATGATGCTGCTGATGATGATGATGATGATTCTGATGATGATGATGATGATGATGATGATGATGATGATGATGATGATGATGATGATGATGATGATGATGATGATGGGGAGGAGAAGGAACATAAGGATGATTTACACGGGAACCCTATACTCAGAGCCAGTCTGGGGGAGGGGTAGAAAACCCTTGAGGGGGGATAGGCGGAGCAGAGCCCGAGAGGGCTGGCAGGAATACTGCAAACACAACAGACCGATGCAGACGAGACGATATTTGCACCAGGGCGCGGGCCGAGGGGGTGTTCAACCCCAGAAATTCTTCAGAGAAAAAGAGAGCAGCTCAGCTGGCTGCATGAGCACAGCAATAAACCCAGGCCAGCTACCTGAGCCTTCGACCTGGGCCAAACCACAAAACTTTTTCGACCCCTCCCCAAAGGGAGGGTGCGGTGGGGCCGACTTGAGCCCAGAGGGGCAGAGGGGGACGGAGGGGGAAAGGGCGGCTAACAGACTACGACGGGTAGTGTAAAATAAAGTTCAAGAACAACTATTTACACGGGAACCCTATACTCAGAGCCAGTCTGGGGGAGGGGTAGAAAACCCTTGAGGGGGGATAGGCGGAGCAGAGCCCGAGAGGGCTGGCAGGAATACTGCAAACACAACAGACCGATGCAGACGAGACGATATTTGCACCAGGGCGCGGGCCGAGGGGGTGTTCAACCCCAGAAATTCTTCAGAGAAAAAGAGAGCAGCTCAGCTGGCTGCATGAGCACAGCATAAACCCAGGCCAGCTACCTGAGCCTTCGACCTGGGCCAAACCACAAAACTTTTTCGACCCCTCCCAGCCGACCCTACTGGGCCACTGGCCAAAGGCCTTCAAAAGAAAAGACTGCCGAGCACGGGCGACACGGGTGGGTGGGAGAGCGAGGCAGATAACCTTACAGCTTTGCTTAAAACCTCACGGCCTCCCCCCAAGGAGCCCCCTCTCCAGACTTGGCTCGATATCATTAGGTGGGAAGAGGGAGCTGCCTACGTCGCTCCGTACATTGCGACGGGGACCTCACGGCCACGGGCGCTCGCAAGAGCACCGACGATGCGTCTGCCGAGAGGCGTCCCCGCGCCTGGCCCTCTCACGACGGCGTCGTGCACCGCCTGGCGCGGGCGGCGCCAGAAGGCACAGCCCTGCTTGATCTGCGTGCCGTCCAGCTCGCTGAGCTTCTCCACCAGCGCGTGGCACTTGGTGTAGCGCTGGAGGCCGGCGGTGGAAGCCCAGCGGCCCCGCCTGCGCGCCGCCTCCAGGTCGCCGCTCAGCGCCACGAAGCGGGCCGCAGCCGCGTGGCGCATGCCGTGCGGCGGCCCCATGGTCTCCAGGCCCACCGCCTTCAGCGTCTTCATCCAGACCTTGCGGAAGCTCGGCTGGGTGAAAGGGAAGACCTGGTCATCAGGCTCCCGATCTTGGACCAGCACCTTCATCAAGAGCTTCGACAGTGGCCACTCCAGCACGGCACCCTGGTTGGCGCCCGTCTTGGTCTTCTGTCCCATCATGCGGTCGCCAAGCTTGAGGCCCACGCCGCCGTCGGGCGTGAAGCTGACGTGCTTGGCCCGCAGCATCTCCCAGTCCTGCTCCCGAAGCCAGCCGTCCAGCTGCGCGATGCAGGCACTCGCCTCGAGCAGGTGCCCCATCTCCAGCATCCTTGTGATGATCACCCCCATCGCCTGGAACGGGATCGGGTGGCCCTCGCCTCCGAACTGCATGCGCTCCCACGACTTCAGCGCACGGTGCGCTGTCGGGAGCCTCCCTCGATGATCCTCGAAGATATGCATGAAGCCATTGAAAGCGAGGGAGGCCTTCATGTAGTTGTCACCCCTCAGGTAGCAGAGGTCGCTGATGTAGTTCCCCAGCGCGCGGTCCCTCTGCTCCAGGGTCGTGAACGGCACCTCCCCGCGCTTGCAGTCGACGAGGAAGGCCCTGACCTCCCGCTCGTAGACGACGTTGGTGGAGTCGTCGACCGCGTGGACCACCAACCTGTTGTTCCACCGAGGGCGGTCCTGCTTGGCCTGCTGCCAGGCGCGTGCGCCGCGCTTCTGCAGCGGCGGTGCAGACGCCCCCCTGCGGGCGCCACTGGCCACGTGCAGCGTCACCACCAGCACTACCCAGAGGGACATCCTGCCGCCGCTCCTCGCCGCCGAAACAGCGTCGCCGCCAGCGGCAGCCCCGCGCGAAGCCCTGCAGCACCTTCCCGCAGTCGCCGTAGCTCCCGATGTGGCAGCAGTAGCGACCCACGTCGCCGAGGTAGACGCCCAAGGCCGCCACGTTCTCGCTTGGGAGGCCGAGGCCTCCCTGCTGAGAAGGTAGTCGAGCCCCAGACGCACCGCCAAGGTCCCGCGGGTCACCGCCGCCGTTCCAGCACCTGCAGCAGCGGCCGCACCGCCTTGGGCGTCGTCCTCATCCTGTGCGCCTGCTTCGTTTCGTCCGCTGCGCCGATGTCGACACCACGGCTCGGGCCGTCGGCCATGTTCCACTGGCTGGGCACCCACCGGTAGTAACCTCTGATGCCCAATGCCAGCGCGATGCCACATGCCACTCGTGCCAACCTCAAAAGCGACGTCGCTGATGAACGACCCTTCTGCAGCACGCCCATGGAGACCACAGAGTCCGTCATGATCACCACTCGCTTGTGCCAGCATCTCGAAGATCTCGCCAGATGTCGCAGCACGCTCACCACGCACCGCAGCTCCAGCACGTTGTTGTGTT